TCGTGCTCGTACCCGAAATAGGGTGTGACGGTCATGTTTTAAGACCTCGGCTTTGGGTTAAGTGTCTGGGACCATGTGGTTTGGACTTAAGTGTAGACCATGAAAGTGCAGTTTTATTTGTCAATATGAGCTTTGTATTAAAATGTGGATATATAATATGATGATCTCCACACGTCAGTAATACAATATATTTTCTGTGATGACAAATGCATTGGAAGTTTTTCATGATCAGTAGTAGTCCATTTCTCTCCTAGATTGACCGGATTATATTCATACCGATTGTGAACTGCACCAGAGTGCACATGAACCACCATTTCAAGCGAACTTACACCATAGATAAGTGTCCATGAAAAGTAATTTTTAGTAATTAATAATTTTTTTTGTAATTTAATAATTTGCATTTTTCTAACTTAATAATTAGTTTAATTAGTTATTAAATAATTAATAATGTAATTAGTCATTAGTTTCTTTTGTTTTTATTCAAGACAGAAAGAGTTCCTGAGTCATTTGTGACCCTGGTGAAGACGTTCATAAGGCTTTCATCCTAAAATATATTAATAAAATAAAAAAGCAATTTTATATATTATTATTATTATTTGCTCTGCAGATCCCTTTATGTGTGTATTTGTGGTATATTTTTTTGTTTTTGTTTGTTTTTTTTTGTTTTTTTGTTTTTTTTACATTGCACTCGTCATTAAAGGCACAATATGTAAGTTTTCGTCACTAGAGGGTTATTAAAGACTTATTAAGGTCACTGTAGTATGAAGCAGGGTGGGGCTAAAAGTCGTGGAAGCGAAACGAGGCTGCTGGAGTGATTGTTAATGAAGGACGAGCGCGATACACGGCTCGATAGCAGCAGAGCTTTTATTATGCCACAGTCGACCGCTTCCGCTTCTTCCGGTCATGCGTATGTGGGGTAAAACAGCGCTGTTTTATACTAGATACATTTGAGTGTATTGAAAGTTCTGTTATAATGCTACTCTGTGCGTTCGTCACCTGTCTAATAAAATGCATAACATATTAAAGTGTCTTTGGGGTTTCCATGTTTTCAACAAAATAAAACCAGAAAAATCGAGGGTGTATGACGTCATTGGCAGGCGACACAATGACACTATGGACACGGTCCGTTACACTAGTTAAATTTGCTTATTTCTCTGGATTTAAACATCCTTCAAAACATCTGGGATAATGTAAGTACACAAGTCAGCAAAATATATAACACTGTTCTAGTGGTTTTGGGATATTTTAATCAAAAAATCTTACATATTGTGCCTTTTAAGGCAGTTGTCTTGAGCTCAGCATTAGTGTAGCATCATGCAAAAACAAAAATTTTAAGTTGCCAAACCCATTGTAGAATCGTGGTCAGCCATGATTAATTTATTTCATGAGCAAAGTGGTTACTTAATTGAAACTCTCAGTACTCAGCTGGTCATGTGATGTTTTTGACTTTGGCTTCCCATATAGCTCATCATTAAATAAAACAGACATGCAGATTATTTCAAACAGAAAACAAGATTATTTTGAAAAACTCGCTAAATTTTGGCTTGATTTTTCTGAAAACAAGACAATAATTTTTACTTGTCTAGAAAATACTTTTTCTAATTTTTAGATATTTTGGCTGGAAACAAGACAAAAAAATCTAAGTAAGAAAAGCATTTTTGCTGTGTACATTCAATATGAAAGTTTCCATCGCCTTGTCCAGAGTTTAACAATGCTTGCTTTGATTTTCTGAGACAGGACTTCCCCAAGAATGAGACCATAATTAGATCAGTAATTTTTCACTTTTTGAGTTATTAGATTTTAGATTTGGGAAAACACCCCAAGATGTGTGGTTCACAGGCATTAATCACATGCATGTGTGCTGGGAAAGCAGACAATGACCTTTCAACCGCAGTTAAATGGACTAGACAGTTCAGGTGTCTGGAGCTGTTAAGTGGTAATCCAGGTCACGCTGTGCATTACTTGAGGCGTGCCATTCCATATCTGATTAAAAACCTCTCCATTAGATATTTATTCACTGCATTAGCTGTGGCTGTTCTGGTGGTATACATGCACTTTCAAATCATGCTTCTGGGGGCGCTGCATTCTAATTGGCCAGCTGAACATTTCCCCCGACCAATCAGAGAGCTCGCTCGCGTTCTCTGCCTCAGAACATCTTGACAACACGTCTTAACTGGCAGACCATTTTGAGATTGTTTAATATGTAATTGCCTGCAGTGCTGTAAATTGCTTCCTCGTGGTTCCTTCAAAACCGCAATACTTCAGGATATTTAATGTTCTACCAAGAGCTGTTTTATTAAAGCTGCCGTCTTCTGATCACAGCAGAATGTTGCTGTTGTTGTTCTAAACGCTTTCATTTCATAAGTGTGATCAAACATTTTTGTACTCCCCTCGGACTCAGACTAACGTTACAGCTGCTAAAAGTCTCTGGGTCACTGGGACATTTTTTTCCCCTGGGTTTTTATGTACAGTGAAAAGCTTTCAGGAATCGGTCTCATTAGTTTAGGATAAGGATGGATAACTCTCAGCGCAAATGGCCTTCTGTTTCCTCCCCTACACCGCTTTGGAGTGCCGAGGTTGATCGTTTCATATTCTTGTGTGATCTGGTTGTTTTGGTGTCTGAGGCGTGTAGTAAATCATGCTGAGTGGATGATCTTATTTAACATCAATAAAACATAAATAATTAATCACTCTCCATTCATCTGATAATTAGGCCAGGCTTAAGCTTCTTTGCCAAATGGTAATATCACATGGACACCGGCCAGTAATGTTGTGACTGTGATTCTTACGTTATCTGTTGTGCTTAAAGATTAAGATAGGATAAGATTTAAGATAGAAATTAATCTAGAATTAAACAATGTTACACACATTGCTATTTTTATAGAAAAAGAAATAGCCATAGCTCATTTTCTTTTAAAAATGTTTGGCAACAAAAGGTTTATCAAGAAATCAAGTAACTAGTTTGTTTATAATAATAATTATACATAAATAATGATCATTAAAAAAAAGGTGCAATTACTGATGTTTGGAAATATGTCTTGCATAACTGCTAAAAAAGAGACCTAAAGTGCTCCCTACTGGATTAAATTATAACTGCTTGTTCATATATTACAAAACACATACCGTAGGCGTAGGAGATAGATAGATAGATTCTGTTTAATGTGTAATAAAAAGAAATTGCACAATTAAACATTCATTTTATATTATAAATATAGTAAATCAATGTGTTGTGTGTGAAGATTACATTTTACATTTGACATGCGCTTTTTTCTGTACAACTTTCATTTAAAGTGACTTTTTTTTTTTCTTGCATTCCTTTGGAATAGAACCTATGACTTTGGTGTTGCTAGCACCATGCTCTATGGTTTGAGCTACAGGAATGTATTAGTGAATAACTGTTCCTCAAAGAAACTTATCATATGAAACAAAGCGACTTAATTTGAACTGCTTTTTTCTGGTCTATCTTCCAAAACCACAGTTGTCCTCACTGATTTTCAGATCATTAGCTCATGTATCTTGCCCATTCATGTTTTGTTTTGTTTTTTAACAGAATTGATTGAATTATTAGTTTGGGCCAGATTTTATTAAGTTGACGACTGGTCCGTGCATGTAGAGCTCTTTCCATGAATTAGAGGGGGCAGCGTATCTGTCTTATCAGCCTATCATTACAGTCAGTGCTGGAGAATCTCTGTTGTTGTTCTTAATTTATGGGCTGTGCTTTTGTGAGATTGCTTATAAAGGGGAAGACAATTAATGGCGAGCGTTCCAAATCTAAATCTTTTCTTTTGGCTGTGTCCTTTTCTTCGTATATCATCCCTGTGACAGATTCACAACACAACATGCAGATCAGTTTATTTATTCCACAATGTAATCAGAGCACAGATACAAGGCAACAATTACTATTTACTTCATTTATCCATTGTAATATTCTATCCTATGCCATATTTGTTCTTGTAACATCACTGATACAGTTTCAAGTGACAGTACTTACAGCTGACAGACAGTACTACATGACTAAATATTGTGTTCTGTCAAATAGCAGCATGCTGTTATGTGTAAAATACAAGTAGACAGGGAGTAGAACACTTACGAAAACACGAGTTGTGAAGGAGCTGTTCTCCACTGAGGGTATTTTTTACAGTGGCAGCCCACAGAAGTGTAGCAGCAGTAGCTCTGGCAGAAGGCTCACTGAAAGCAGCACATTTAAAGCACAGGTGTGTTTCAGAGTCTGTGTCAATCTGCCGAACACAGTGACCACTGCGGTCAGACCCCAAAATGAAAGTTATGTCTTGTTTATGTTGTTCCAAACCTGTGGTTTTTCTCACACAAAAGAACAGCTTTGGGAAAATGCTCTTTTCTCAAATGAAGCAAGCAAACAATGATAGGGACTGTCAATCAGTGTTCTTTTAGTATCATTGAAAAACTATTATAGTTTTTCTTGCAAAGTTTTAGTAATCTTGTTGTGTTTTTGTCATTTTTATTAGTTTTTTTAAATATGTCTTTTTATTCATTTAACTTCATTTACTTTGTCATTTTAGTTTTTCAAGTTAAGCAAAAAGTGAAAAATGTAGCTGAAACGAAATAGGTTTAAGGTTTTATTTATTTATTGTAAATGTAATTTTATTTCAGTTAACATTTATTTTATTTCATGAAAGTGTTTTCCTATTTTAATTTTTTCCTTTTAGTTTTGTTCATGCCAACTTTAACCCCACTGCAATTCTCAAACATGAATTCTCATTTGCATATAGTCAAATATGTGCATGAAGACGCATCTCGCCAAGTTTACTGTCAGTGATGCTGAACTCTATTGGTTCTCACATGTCTCATTGACACAAGCCAAATTTGAATATGCAAATACAGTTGTAAGAATTGCTTTTATGATGTTTTTGATTCCTTTTTGGCTCTTCACAGAACCTGTTCACTGCTTCTTTCATTGTTCACACAATGAGAAAAAAATAAAGAAAGTCATAGGGGTTTGGAACAACATGAGGGTGAGTAAATGGTGAACTATTTCTTTAACAGAGCCTCAGGTTTACTGCCAGTAGATTGTCAGATGGTCCCTGGGGAAAAAGTGAAATCATTTGTTTTCATTGGCTCTCAGAAAATAGGAAAACATTAGATTGAACAAAAGCCGGTTTTAGAATGAAATTCAAATAAATTTGAACAGAAATTATGAGAAATCTATATGGATTAAACATTGCAATCGAGTGAAGTTCATGACAACATTGTCAGAATTTTAGCAATTTCATTCATCAAAATGGAATGCAAACCACTGACTCATAAACCATTTTCATCTATTAAAATGTTAAAGTGTAAAGTTGTTACAGTTTTGTGCTTGTACTTTTGGTCTAATGATTATGCAACAGTTTGTTTGCAGTCCTCTAATCTGATTGGCCAAACAGTGGAGAAAAAAAAACGTTCATATTTAATCTAAAATGTTGGTTACGCTATATTATTTTCTTGTGAACCATTGTATAAAAGCAATATCATTTTGGTGCTGTTGCCCTGAATATCATCTACAGGTAATCACAGTCATGTGACGTCTCCTCACCTATACTTGTGGAGTGATTCCCTTCATCGTCTTCCCCAGAGTGGGTTTTCTTTGTTAAATGATGCACGATGATGGTGGCATTAAAGGCTCTCTGCAGCACAAGACGCCAGTGATAATGCTGCAGAATCTAGTGAACTTCAGCAAATATCTTTAAATGGCTAAGAGTGAACCTACACTGCATATAAGAGCAGAAGAGTCAGTTTAATGTTTGGAGGCATTTACTGCACTAGAACTAAAAGCCTGAGTTACAGCAATTACAGCATTTGCCCTTTTAAAGGTACATGCCGTAATTGCATGGCAGGGCAGACGATCAGGAGTAGAGCGACAAACGACTGGCGGCAAATAATAACAAAGCCTCCATATGCCGCTAAAGTTACTCTAGCCATACATTTACAAATGCAAAGTGTTGTATCAGCCTCAGAGGTCACAGACATGGGTCATATAGAGCTACGTATTTTACACATTAAACATGCAAGGTGGGAGTCTTGTGCTTTAGTACATTTTTGATCTTACTCAAAGAGAGAGTAAGAGTTTTGATCACTCTTACCTTCCAGTGACTCTTGGCAAAGTTTTTCTGAATCTGTGCTGACACTGAGCCGTGGATGTTCTTGTCTAGAGCCGCACCTCCTGAAATCCTGCCATTACAAAACAATAATATTAATTCAAAATTAGGCATACACAACTGTTCAAAAGTTAGTAAGAGGTAGGGTTGGGCGATGTCTACAAAATTGGCATCGGACGATGTCTACAGTGAAACATCGCGATGGACGATGACATCGGCGGGGGCGAGTACATCCTACAGTACATAAAATTTCACTTACCACATAAACAGAGTAAGGGGAGATGACTGAGGACGATGGCGAATGATTTGCAGATCCTCATACCACTGACAAACATATAATCTTGTAAAATGTGTGGTAAGTACTGCCACTCCATAGTATAAACAGAGTAGTACGTGCGATCGCGAATCTTGAAAGTGAAAGCGAAACTAAAAGCGATCATGCATTCAAAAGCACGATGATGATGATCAGCCATCAGCGATGGACGATGGCATCGTCTTATCGGCCCAACCCTAGTAAGAGGTCAGTAAAAGTAATACTATTATTCTGCTAGGACACAACAAATTGACCAAAAGTGACTGTAAAAACATTTATAATGATAGAAAAAGATATCTGTTTTAAATAAATGATCTTCTTTTGAATCTTGAAAAAAAAATTAAGTTTACCGTTTTCCACAAAAATTTGCAGCACAGCTGTTTTCAACATTGCTAAATGCTAATAATAAGAAATGTTTCTTGAGCAGCAAATCAGCCTATTAGAATGATTTCTGTAGGATCATGTGACAGCAGACTCGTGTAATGATGATGAAAATTCAGCTTTGCATCACACAAATAAATTACATTTAAAAAAATATTTAAATAGAAAACTGTTTTTTTTTTCAGGTTAGTAACTTACTATTTTGATTAAATAAATGCAGCCTTGATCTGCATTAGAGACTTATTTCAAAAACTCTTACCGACCTCAAACTTTTGAATGGTAATGTATATCCCCACACTAAAACACAACTCATAAACATATACAACATACAACTCGTATCTTGCAATGATCTAAGTAACCATGGGAGAAGAAATCTAAAATGTCATTTCTTTCATATCTCAATTGTTTCTCCTAGACTGCAGAATTAAAATTAAAAGGAGAGAAAATGGAGACTGTTAGGTCTCCTACAGCTTCTCAGATAATTCTTTTGAGAAAAAAGACTCTCAATGAATCTCACACATGTCTGCTTTTGAGCTCAGATGAGATCTCAACAATGATCCCAAACTGTGCTCAGATTGACCAGATATGAAAGTCAGGAAACAAAGTTGGAGATATCAATATGAACTTAAACCTTTCTCAAAGAATACTTCCAACTCTATATTTTGGAAACCTGTTTTCACCAGGGGGGGGAAAAAATGAAAAAGGTCATTGCAACCTTTTTCTTGAAATTCTCAGTTTATATCTCGCAATTCTCACTATTCTGGAAAAAAAAACAAAAAAAAAACAGTATTGTGAGATATAAACTCAGAATTGCAATTTTTTTTATACTTCCATGGCGGAAAAAAAAAAAAAAAAGTATTTCAAGAATTTCAAGAGAAGTCCCAATTGTGGGATAAAAAAAAAATCACAATTGATCTGGACCGCTATCCACATTCATTTACTATAGTCTTACTGTATGGCAACCATTTCTTTGTCTCCTAAGGAACTTTAAGAGAAACATTCAGACAAAGATAATGGTAAGAAAATGAAGCATTATTGGAAACTCAAAGGACTCTTTTGAGCAACATCGGAGCAATTCAAACTTTCTTCTGGGAGACTATAATGCATGTTATTCAAGAACCAAAAAAATCCAATGCCTCAAATTATATGAATTTCTCTAAATGCATTACTTCTTTGAGCACTATTTCATTTCTGCTATGAAAATCATAATTGTTTTGTGCTTAAAGATCTCAGAGTGCTGCAGGTGAAGAGACATCTGTTTATTCTATATTTCATAATCCTCTTCCTGTCTCCACACACCCTCCCACGCCGCTGCACAGATGTGGCCCAACTCTTCATCTGTTCTTCAAGGTCAGCCTATCTTTTCAACCCTTCAGCTCCCCGTCCGCCTCTTTCCTGCTATTTATGGACTCACCAAGGATGCTGCAAGGCCTGGTCACAATTGAACCTCTTCGCTGGATCCTTCTGCAGTAAGTGAACTATAAAGTCTTTCGCTGAAGCATTAGTGGGCAGAAAGAGGCAGAGAATACAAGAAGATCATTACCACTTAATGTGGCCAGCATTTGACGTGTTTAGGTTGCATTATAAAACATTCTGCATTAATTCAAAGGGAGAAGTTTTTAAAACCACTCATGAAAGCATGAATGCTTTAATTCTATATATAATTTCCTAAGCAATTGCAGAAAGCAAAAACATAGGTTATTATTGAAATGGATCACAGTGCAGCAGTATAAATATATAAAAAATAAGTATAGTCAGTTGTTTTAGACCCCATTGGACTTTCATTGCATAGACAAAAACAGTTGAAACATTCTTCAGAATATCTCCTTTTGTTCCATGGAATTAAACAAAGTCAAAAAGGTTTGAAACAATATGAGGGTGAATAAATGATGACAGATTTTTTTATTTTTGGGTGAACTGTCCCTTTGAGTGTGCATTATGTAACTGCATATTATATGCATGATGCATTATATAAATATAAAAATAGCACAAGCACAGTTTTCAAGCACAAAAAAGTAGGTTTGAAATCATGAAGCAAACAGGGCCCCAAAAAGTATTTAGACACTTAAAGGGATTGTACATGCATTTTTTAATTTTTTTTTGCAAATTAAAAAAAAAAGGAAGCAAAGTGATATGGAAACTTGATTTTGTACATTTGTATCTGACTTTTAAGTGTTCAAATATTTTGGGGCCACATTTTGTACATTCATAACCCATTTTCCTCAGTCCAAAATTCCACTACATTTTTGTATGAAAAAATAAATGTCATTAGTTTTTTGTTTTTAGACATTTCATAATAGTAGCATTAAATAATGAAAAATGTAAATAGAAATCTCAGATACAAATATGTTATTATGCATTATTAAAAAACAACAAATGGAGGCTTGGAGCATTATATGAGCATTTGGACTGATGATGCTATGAATGTGATTTGGTTATTCATACTATACAGTAAGAGAGATTATATATTTTTGTGATTATACCGGAGTCAGAGATGTCATCCCAGTATGGCGAATCAAATTCATATTCGGCCTTTATGATCAGCTTGTAGAGTTGTGTATCGTTGTCATCATAGAACGGAGGGTAGCCACAGAGTCTGCCAGAAAATTAAGAACTGCTGATACAGACTTTCAGTTTGGTACAGTGCTGTTTATAAAACAGAGTTTATTCATGTAGGGTGAATAATATTAATCCAGCACTCACAGAATGAATGCAATCACCCCAATGGCCCAGAGATCCACCTCTTTACCGTATGTTTTCTGCTGTAGAAGTTCAGGAGCTACAAAACACATAGTGAACACCAGTACTCACGAGTTACCGTCAATGGAAAAGACTACGCTCTTAAAACTAAAGGTTCTTCAGTGGTTCTTTGCGGCACTTTAGATTCAGAAAAACACCATTTATTGGTTATAGAGCTCTTAAAGGGATAGTTCACCCAAAATGAAACCATTTACTCACCCTCAAGTTGTTCCAAACCTATATGAGTTTCTTTCTTCTGTTGAACATGAAATAAGATATTTTGCAGAATGTGGGCATCCAAACAGTTGATGGTCTCCATTGGCTTCCATAGTCATTTTTGATTACCCCACATCCCTCAAAATATCTTCTTTGATGTTCAGGTTTGAAACGACTTGACAGTGAGTATTAGTAAATGATAACATCATTTTCATTTTTGGGTGAACTGTCCCTTTAAGTTGCTATGTTTTTTTTTTTTTTAGTTTAGTTTTTTTTTTTTTTAGATTAAAGTTCTTGGTATCACATTATAGGTTCAAACCTACACATTTGGTTTCTGGGTTTTTTAAGCACTAGTACATATCATTTTTTGAGCTGTTGCTGCACATGATATTAGGTCACAATCATGATTATAATCTTTCTCTTACCAACATAGGCAGGTGTCCCACAGGCCGTGGAAAGAGCACCCTGCTCTTCCATTTTAGACAGACCGAAGTCACTGATGACAATTTTGGAGTCTTCTAATGGAGTCTCATACAATAAATTCTCTGGCTAATAGAGAGAGAACTTATAATTGTAATATCCACTTAGCTGCATGCAAAGCACCCACAGTGAAAAGCTGGAATGAAAACTTTTTAATCAAACATACCCAAGCGCTCTCAAAACATCACCTGAAAACCCCTCAACATGAGTGCTCTGAAACTAAAAATGTTAAAAACAGAGACTAAAGTGTTAGATTTTGTTGTCAGGTACCTTTAGATCTCGATGCACAATGCCAAGCTGGTGCAGATACTTCACTGCCTGCAGCACCTGATATATCACACGACTGGCATCTTTCTCTGTGTAACTGCCTCTCTCCAGAATCCTGTCCAGTAGTTCCCCTCCTGTCAACCTGAACAACATACTGTCATCAGCATCTATCTATCTATCTATCTATCTGTCTGTCTGTCTCTTATTCTGTCTCTGTCTTTTCTGTCTGTCCGTTGTTCTCTCTCATTCTTTTTATCTGTTTTTTTGTCTATATTTTTTTTAGGGCTGCAAGATAAATATCGCACGATACTATATTTTGCGCATGTTTTGCGCAGCTTGTCTGTGAACAACGGCTCTGTGTAGTAAATGCTGCTCCACGTGAAAGCACGCACGTGTAGAGATTTACCGCTGATTACAGAACCGGCTTTACTGACGAGATGCGCATTAAATATTGTGCGATATTTATCGTGCAGCCCTAATTTTTTTATATAGTTTTATATCTGTTGTTCTTTCTAACTTTCATTCTATCTGTCTGTCTGTTGTTCTCTCGTTTTCTGTCTGTCTATCATTCTATCTGTTCTTTCTAACTCTTATTTGATCTATCTATCATCTGTCTGTCTGTCTATCTATCTGTCATCTATCTGTCTGTTCTTTCTAATTCTTATTCTATTTGTCTGTCTGTCTTTGTCTGTTGTTCTCTCATTTTCTGTCTGTCATTCGTTCTATCTGTTGTTCATTCTAACTCTTATTCTATCATCTATCTATCTATCTATTTTTCTGTCTATATTTAATCGTTCTTTCACTCTATCATTCTGTCCAATCCTATGAAACACGAAACTTGGAGCTAAATTAATTTTTAAAGGGGTCATCGGATGCAAAATTCACTTTAGCTGAACTGAAAGCGCTACCGTTTGTTTTCAGATGCCTTGAGATCGCCAGAAGCCTCTGTCTCTGTTTACATTATTGAGGCTGTTTTCGGTAAGGCTCCCACAGATCCTGAGCTCTTGCAGCTCTCCTTGTATGGGCACAGGGGTTTTCCACTCAAGTATTAGCATTCCACCCGTCTACTCGCCTAATCTTGTGAACACTGAACACACACACTCATAAACCTTACATGATGCTGACTGTCTCACCTGCTGTGCATTGTGGCCTTTATATCTGCTGTCTAACAAGGTATTAAAGGTAAACCGTTAGGATTGTGACTTGACATTAGTCATACATACTGACATCATGTAAGGCTTTTACAAAACAGCAAATTGTGTGCAAACACAATATTCTATGCATTATTAGACAATTTTGATCAAATCTGTTGCAAATGGATGCCATGA